AAATCAACGACTCTGCTCGGTGCTACTGAACGAGTTCAACTACCCACCTTGGTCAAGAGCTGTGTCACTTGCTCTAGGAGGAAGATCGAAGCTAGGGTTTATCAATGGAAGCTCTAAGCCCCTAGAATCCACTTCACCAACTTACGATGCATGGCATACTATTGATCAGCTGGTCATGTCCTGGTTACTTAACTCCATGGAGCCAAAACTGTCTAAGCTTTTCAGCTACTCAGAGTCTTCCTTTCTCCTATGGGAGTCTATCAAAGACATGTATGGCAGCCAAAACAACTCAGTTCGCATCTTTCAACTGAAGAAGAGTGTGGCTAGTTTAAAGCAAGGTGATCACTCATTTGTTCAACACCTTGGAAGTATGTTCACACACGACTGATTCCGCTGTGCTACTGAAGATGGCTGATGAAGACAAGGTTTTTCAACTCTTAGCAAGCTTAGAAGCGAAGTATGAAGACCTGCGTAGTCACTTGTTAATGACTCAAGAGCTGCCCTTCTTTACCACCGTGTGTCATGTAGTCCAGAGAGAAGAAACTCGACGAAGAGTGATGAACGTTGAGCCCAAATCCAACTCTGAAGCTAGGGTTTTCACAACAAATCACAAAGCAACTGGTGATAGGGTGCTTGGCAAGAAAGCAGACTGGAGATGTTCTTATTGCAACATGAAGGGACATTTGAGAGAAAAATGTTGGATTCTTCATTCGGAGTTAAAGCCTAAGTTTAATAGGGAAGGCAAGATGATCAAAGATGGGAAGGGTGGAGTCACTCCAAAAGCATTTCATTCAGCTTGTTCCTCAACTGATGGGATGGCCAATTTCTCAACAAATCCTGTGTCCTTGATTAACGAGTTTGCTGCTTTTCTTCAAAAGAAGCAAGGAAGCACTAAACCTGATGAAATGACACCTGAAATCCCTACTGCAATGCTAGGTAAATTTGCTGGATTCTTGGCTGGCTCGGAGAACACATTGAAAGGCAATATTCCAAGTATTATTAGTGCCATTTCCATTGCTTTTAATGCAAATGTTACACATGATTTTTGGATTATTGACTCTGGTGCCACTGATCATATAACTAATAAACCCTCTAGTCTCCACGATTTTCAAAGAACTATTGATCCAACTCATGTATCTGTTGCAAATGGGAAAGGGGAACCTATTCTAGGGAAAGGAAATATTAGATTGCTAAGTGATCATATTGATTCCACTGCTCTCTATGTACCCTCTTTTCCTTTTCAGCTCTTGTTAATAGGAAAAATCACAAAAACCTTAGATTGTCTTGCCATATTTTCCCCTCACAATGTTGTGTTTCAAGACCGAGTTACTTAGAAGAAGATTGGTGAAGGGTTCTTCTTGAATGGACTCTACTATCTCTCAAAGGAGTCCAATTTTGTCAAAAAGCTCAGTGTCAACTTAAGTCAAGTTCAGGAACACCAACTTTGGCATCAACGCCTTGCCTATCCCTTAAAACATGTGATGACTAAGTTGTTTCCCTTTTTTTTGTAAAAACACACTGGAGTGTGAAACTTGTCAAATGTCAAAAGCCACTAGACTTCATTTTGTTACCTCTAATTCTAGAACTAGTAAACTTTTTGAGCTTGTTCACTCTGATATTTGGGGTCCTTTTCATGTAGAATCCTTTGATGGGTATAGATATTATGTGACATTTATTGATGACTATTCTAGAGTAACCTGGTTGTATCTTTTAAAACTTAAAAGTGATTTGTTTGATGCTTTTAAGGACTTTCACAACCTAATCACCAATCAATTTTCATCTAAGTTATATATGTTAAGATCAGATAATGGTACCGAGTACACTTCCAATAACATGAGTAATTACTTGAGCAATTATGGCATTTTGCATCAAAATAGCTGTGTTGGTACACCATAACAAAATGGTGTGGCAGAGAGAAATAATCGAGACTTATTGGAGAAGACTCGATCACTTATGATCCAAATGAATGTTCCTAAGAAATTTTGGTCTCAAGCTCTACTCACTGCTACGTACATCATTAATAGACTGCCAACTCGGGTGTGAATAATAAATTTCCTTTTGAAGTCATGAAGGGCAGGCCTATAAGCTTGTCTCACCTCAAAACCTTTGGTTGTACTTGTTATGTGCACATTCAAGCTCTCCATCATGACAAACTTGACCCTCGAGCTTTCAAATGTGTGTTTATAGGATATGCCAGTTCTCAAAAGGGTTAGAAAGTGTACAACATTAACACGGGGAAGCTGGCAGTCTCTAGAGATGTGCGATTTGATGAATATTCACCTTATTTCCACAAAGGGTTGGAGACTAATGCTAATATGGAAGATCTTATGGACCTATTTCCACTACTTATTCCAGCAGAAATTCATGAAGTCATTCCTGCTCATATCAGCACTGATAATTCTCAACTCACTGAGAGTGTAACTAATGCAGTGCCAAGCTCCTCTGAACCATCAGAAGCTCAACCAAATTAGCAAGCTATAAGTGAACAAAGAAGAATCCTACACGAGATAGACATCCACCAGTGAGGTTACAAGAGTATGCTACTTACACTGCAAGGCATCCTATCTTTGCAGCCATTTCTTATCACAGATTCTCATCTTCTCATACTTTTTTCCTTAACAAAGTGTCCCACACTTTCGAACCAAGGAATTTTCATGAAGCTACATGCATGCCTGAGTGGCAAGATGCTATGACTAAAGAGCTTCAAGCTCTGAATGACAACCAAACATGGAGTATGGTGGATCTTCCAAATGGCAAGAAGGTCGTGGGAAGTAGGTGGATATATAAGACCAAATTCAACTCCAATGGAACCATTGAAAGACACAACGCACGGTTAGTAGCACAAGGCTTTACTCAAACCTATGACATTGACTATAAGGAGACCTTTACTCCTGTTGTCAAAATGAACACAGTGAGGGTATTGTTGTTTGTGGCAGTCAATAATGCATGGCCCTTATTCCAAATGGATGTGAAGAATGCATTTCTTCATGGGGATCTTGAAGAAGAAGTGTACATGAAGTTGCCTCCTGGTCATCCAAGAGAAAATGAACCCAACAAGGTCTGCAGACTTCACAAAGCCATATATGGTCTCAAACAATCCCTTCGAGCTTGGTATTCGAAGCTTAGTTCAGTCTTGAAGTTGCAGGGTTCAAAAGGAGTCATGCTGACTGTTCTTTGTTTGTTCGAAGTAGTATTGCTGGCAAATTGGTTGTACTTATATATGTTGATTACCTAATTATTACAGGTGACAATATAAGTGAAATCAAGACGCTTAAGCAGTCACTTCACCAAAAATTTGCCATTAAAGACTTGGGGCCCTTGAAATACTTTCTTGGAATTGAGGTGGCTACCTCTTCAAATGGATTGTTCTTGAATCAAAGAAAGTATGTTCTCGATCTTCTAGATGAAGCTAACATGATGGAATGTAAACCAGCTCGGACACCCCTAGCTAGCAAACTTCAGTGGCATGAAAAAGGTGAACCTTTCTCGGTCCCTAGTGTTTATCAGCGAATGGTTGGGAAACTTATTTATCTCACCATTACTAGGCCTGATATCTCATATTCAGTTAGCCTAGCCAGTCAGTTCATGCACTCTCATACTCTAGTTCACTGGGAAATCGTCAAGAGAATACTTCGATATCTCAAGGGCTCAGTAGGAAATGGGATAATTATGAAGAACAATGGATCAAATCACATCTTGGACTACACAGATGCTGACTGGGCTGGAAATGCCCTTGATCAAAAATCCACAACAGGTTTTTGCACATTTGTTGGAGGGAACCTTGTCACTTGGAAGAGCAAGAAACAAACTGTTATTGCTCGATCTAGTGCCGAAGCTGAGTATAAGGCTATGGCAGCAACAGCCTGTGAACTCATATGGTTGAAAGGTCTTCTTTCCGAGCTCATATTCACAAGCATGGCACCTATGTCCTTGTATTGTGATAACCAAGCTGGCATGCACATTGCCTCCAATCTAGTATTCCATGAAAGGACCAAACATATTGAAGTTGACTACTATTATATTTGTGCTCAAGTTCAATCCAAGGTGATAGACACCGTTTTCACACGCAGCCACAATTAACTTGCTAATTTATTCACAAAAGCACTAGACTCTACTCAATTTCAGCGTTTGTTGTGCAAGCTTGGATCAATCAATCCCCTTGATCTAGCTTGAAGGGGTGTATTGAAACCGGTTGTATGTATGAGTTGTCATCGGCTAAAGTCACTTTCCATAGCTTGTCATTCACCTTACATCAACCTCACTTTCCATAGCTTGTCATTCACCTAACATCAACCTTTCCATAGCTTGTCATTCACCTTACATCAACCTCACTTTCCATAGCTTGTCATTCACCTTACATCAACCTTTCTTAGTTGCTTGTAAAAGCTTCTTTACTTGTAATTTGGTTTTTTGCTTTTCCACTTGTTAGGGCAGATTTTAGGGATTGTGTTTGTGTAGTTATCCTACTATCTATTGTAGCTTTCTTTTGGCTCTCTATAAGAGTTGCCTTCACTCTCTTGTAACATTCATAATGAAATATACAACAAATATTGAAACCAAAATTCAACAATATGGTTGGAATTGAGACTTTTATTTCCCGAATAATAATTTTCAACTACAAATTTTGAGTTTTTTTTCTTCGAACAAATGATATTACCTACATTAATGGGAAGAGTGTGAGTTTAGCGTCACATTGGACTAGTAATAATATGGTTTAAATTCGCTTTTGGAGAAAATCAAAATTAAGACCTCTCACTTATAACTGAAAATGAATTTCACTAGACCGTAATACAAAGTAGCAATTCTGGTTCTTAAAGAATAGTATGGACCAAGAATAAAGAAGAAACCTTATGTGGTATAGTTATTAGTTCCTCGTAGTTATTAGTTTCTTCAAAACTTTAGGACCTGCCTTGAAAGATAGAATCGCCTTTACATCTATCTATACGTATTAATATATCGACGAGGTCGGTATATTCACACATGCTATATAATGGCTTTGATAAAACAAAGGAAAATTAAGCACTCTCCAAGTTGAGGCGGTTTCAGACACCTAACTGAACTGACCACTTTTCCGACATTTGTGCTCTCTCCTCTCTTTCTCCTTTCTCTATCCTCTCCCGAACTCTTCTATTCATTTTTACCAAGACACAATTAAATACTCCTCACCAAGTTTTACACCACTCTCCTCGTCCAAACCCAACAAATATCAAACCTATCTCGATCAGCTTCCTCACTCGAATCCTTCTTTCCTAACATTTATCCCTCCAAAAACACCAAACCCTTCTCAGTTAATTTCATAGAAAATCATGAATGCTTTTGATCAATCTCAGAGACAAGACTCCTTGAAAAGAAGATGGCAAGAGAGCAGAGTACAGCTTGGTGGTGGTGGTGCAATTACTCCAACTTCTTCTCATTTGAACAGAAACCCTAATGGCAGTAGTCTCCATGGCTTCCCAGGACTTCTTGACGACGATCTTGTTTCCACCGTGGTCCCTCCGGTCACCGTTGTGCTTGAAGGCCGTTCGATCTGCCAGCGCATTTGCCTCCAGAAACATGCAAGCTACCAAAGTCTTGCCAAGGCCCTCCGACAGATGTTCGTGGATAGTGGCGATGTGGGAACCATTAACGAGAAGGATCTTGATCTTTCAAATGCTGTTCCTGGTCATGTTATTGCTTATGAAGACATGGAAGATGATCTTCTTCTTGCCGGTGACCTCAATTGGAAGTGGGTTATTACTATTATTCTCGTTATGTTTGCCCTCTTAATTTGACAATTACATAGATGATACAGAGTCTCGATGTTATGATTTGTGTGTAAATTCTCTTACTTATAATTTGTAATCAGACTGTGAATCTGAACGATGCATTTGAATAAGAATTTATCTAATCGATAGTCTTATGGTTTCGTGCAGTGCACAAGGTCATAATTTGACTTTATACATCTGATGACGCGTTTATGTGTCCGTGTGCGTGTTACAGGGATTTTGTACGTGTTGCGAAGAGAATTCGGATACTCCCAGCCAAGGGAAATTCAAGGAGGGGAAGAAGGGGAACATAGAGCTAGCATATATATGCTGGAATTTGGCATTTTGCAGACGTTTTGTTGGCAAGAAAGTCAAGGAAGTTATGCAAGTAATAAACAAGGAACTTGATCGTTCAAAGAAGAAGAAAAAAAAAAAAAAAAAAAAAAAACAAGGAACTTGTGTCTCATGAAAGCATGGATTAATGTCATACATAGCTAGCTACCTTTTAATGGAATCATATGTACTTTTCCCACTGAAATGTGAAGCATTTTCACTGTTTTTCTTTTGTTTTGTTTTTCTTATATGAATAAAGTTTTTTCCCATATCAATCTTCTCCTTAAATTTTCTTCCTAGTGTCACGGGCCGCATGTTAAAAACAAAGAAAATGCCCAAGACATCATATATCTAAGCCCATAAAGCCTTGTCTTCATGGAAGCTTCTGGAACGTCCCGGAGAAATCAAGAACGTGGCGGAGCATTCAAGATAATCTAGGGCATTCCGGAACATTCCACACAAGTGTACATATTTAAGCCTCACCTAGAATAATCTAGATTAGGCAAGTTGTATCTAGAACTATGCTAGATATTTTTGGATGTAAGTAGAGGATTCTAGAACCCTCCATTGAGGAGGTGACTTAGGCCTATAAATAGGAGGCAAGGCCATTTGGCCAAACCATCCAAGAATTGTAAGCAATTGTAAAGTTCTCCTAAGTTTCAATACAAAGCTTCCTTTCTCCCATCTTCTAAGTGATTTTAGCATTCTCCAAGCTATCTTAGCTTTCTTTGTGATTCGATCCGGGGAAGCGAGGCTTCGAAGGCTTACTTAGCTTGTTCATCGAGGTATTCAAGTCTAAGTGCCGCACGGGCGGAAGGCTTAAAGAGTCATCCCGTGACAGCTGGTATCAGAGCCTAGTTCGTGAATCACTTGAAGGAAAGTAAGATATGTCAAGTGGAGAGATGGTGTCCGGGGTCTCCGATCTAAGGGAGCGTGCTGCCGAGGTCCAAGACGTTGCCAAGAGCAAGCCAAAGTTAAAGGACTTGCAAGCATCGATGGAGACCATGGAAGAGCGACTCGAGAAGGTGGAACGAACCATACTCGAGTTCGATACTCGACTTGATGAGGACGTTGTCGACAAGGAGGAAATCCAAACCATGGTGGACAATGGTAAGGATGAATTGCGTGGCTTGGTGGAAGGGCTACGAGATGAGCTCCTTGGCGCTCTCAACACCATGGCAGACAAGATGCGGAGGGAAGTCCAGGTTCACCTTGACAACATAGAGGCAAGGTTTGTGGCGCTTCAAGAAGAGATAAAGGACACAAGGGAACTTAAGGGAGATGTGGCGTTTTGTAAAGAAGCAGTTGTGAAGCAATTCGTGCAAGGGCCGAGGGAAATCAAGGCGTTGGACTCCAAGGTAATCGACTCCTTTAAACCCAAATCCTATAATGGGAAGAGGGAAGCAAAGGAGCTCGACACATTCATGTGGAACGTGGAGCGATACTTCAAGTACCTGAAGCTTGAAGATGACGAGTCCAAAATCTCAACGGCAACCATGTTCTTAGCTGACAATGCCCTTATGTGGTGGCGTCGTCGGAGCATGGAGATTGAGCAAGGTACGTTCTCTCTCACCACTTGGGATGAATTTAAGAAAGATCTTATGTTGCACTTCTATCCCCAAAATGCCAAGTACGAAGCCAAGGAGAAACTAAGGTGGCTCAAGCAAACGGGGAGCGTCAAAGACTATGTCAACGCCTTCGTGAGCTTGTTATTCGAGGTGCCCAACATGTTAGAGGAAGACAAGCTCATGTACTTCATGAGTGGACTGCAAAATTGGGCAAAACTCGAACTACAAAGGAGACACGTGCAAACATTGTCTGATGCCATTGCCGTTGCCGAATCCTTGATTGAGTTTAAATCAAGCCACCAAGGTGATTCCAAGTCCACGGGGAAGAGGGGTAACCATGAGAGAAGTGGGGGAGAACATAAGCCGAAGGACAAGGCCGAGACAAGCAAACCGAAAGAGAAGAAAGCCGATAAGCATGACAAAGGCAAGGGTAAGTCTTGGCAACCCACTTGTTACCTATGCGACGGCCCTCACATGATGCGAGATTGCCCACAGAAGAAGGCCCTTAAGGCCATGGCTTTCAAGGAGGACAAGGCCGAAGAGAGTAACGATGCAACGATGGGATGCATCCGTCTACTGAATGCCATCCAGACAACCCTCTCACAACCTAAGGCTCAAGTTGGGGGAGGATCATTGTTCGTCGACGTCAAGACTGGTGACAAGACGACGCGTGTGTTGGTGGACACGGGAGCAACACACAACTTCATGACGTCGGAGGAAGCAACAAGGCTTGGCCTCCGAGTCACAAAGGAACCTGGTAGCGTGAAGACGGTAAATTCCGCTGCCACCCCTATTGTTGGAGTTGCGCGCAATGTACAAGTAGACATTGGCGCATGGAAGGGAGAGATCGACTTCACTATAGTCAAGATGGACGACTATGGCGTAGTCATTGGGTTAGAGTTCATGGACAAGGTACGAGCCTTTCCCATTCCCTTCTACAATATTTTCTGTATCTTAGCCGACGGAAGACAACCTTGCCTAGTGCCATTGGAAAGGCAAGCCAAGAAGTGCACCCAACACTTGTCGGCAATTCAATTTGCCAAGTCTTGGAAGAAAGGCGAGGCCACATTTCTTGCAACCCTAATGTTGAATGAAGGGGAGGAGAAGTACGGGCCTTTGCCGAGACAAGTGGAAGACGTCCTTATGGAGTTTGCGGACGTGATGCCTAAGGAACTGCCAAAGAAGTTTCCACCAAGGAGAGAGGTCGACCATGCAATTGAGTTGGAGCCTGGTGCTAAGCCTCCCTCCAAATCACCTTATAGGATGTCGCCACCCGAGTTGGAGGAATTGAGGAAGCAACTCAACGAGCTACTTGATGCTGGCTACACGGGGAATAGTCCAGCCGCTTTCAAAACCGCTAAGGAGTGGCAATTAGCCCACGAACTTGCTCGAGCTCATTTGGAGAAAGCTTCAAAGAAGATGAAGAAATGGGCGGATCGCAAGCGAAGGAATGTGGAGTTCCAAACCGGCGACCAAGTCTTTGTGAAGCTCAATGCGTCTCAGCACAAGAGTACTCGTGGCTTGCACAAGAGCTTGTTGCGGAAATATGAGGGACCATTCCCTATCATCAAGAAGGTTGGCAAAGACGCTTATGTTGTGGAACTCCCACCCCGCCTCAAGTTTCACCCGGTGTTCCATGTGAGCAACTTGAAGCCTTATCATGCGGACGATGAGGAACCCAGTCGAGGTGAGTCTCATCGAGCACCCCCTTTGATGACAGAGGCATTTGACAAAGAAGTGGAGAACATTGAAGCTAAGCGTGTCGTGGTGCGACCAAGACAACCAAAGCATGTGGAGTACTTTGTCAAATGGAAGGGGCTACCATACTCCGAAGCAACATGGGAGAATGAGTCGTCCTTATGGCAATATAAGGACTTGATCGAGACATTCGAGAGGCAAGAGTCGACGAGGACGTCGACGGCTTAAGTGGGGGAGGATGTCACGGGCCGCATGTTAAAAACAAAGAAAATGCCCAAGACATCATATATCTAAGCCCATAAAGCCTTGTCTTCATGGAAGCTTCTGGAACGTCCCGGAGAAATCAAGAACGTGGCGGAGCATTCAAGATAATCTAGGGCATTCCGGAACATTCCACACAAGTGTACATATTTAAGCCTCACCTAGAATAATCTAGATTAGGCAAGTTGTATCTAGAACTATGCTAGATATTTTTGGATGTAAGTAGAGGATTCTAGAACCCTCCATTGAGGAGGTGACTTAGGCCTATAAATAGGAGGCAAGGCCATTTGGCCAAACCATCCAAGAATTGTAAGCAATTGTAAAGTTCTCCTAAGTTTCAATACAAAGCTTCCTTTCTCCCATCTTCTAAGTGATTTTAGCATTCTCCAAGCTATCTTAGCTTTCTTTGTGATTCGATCCGGGGAAGCGAGGCTTCGAAGGCTTACTTAGCTTGTTCATCGAGGTATTCAAGTCTAAGTGCCGCACGGGCGGAAGGCTTAAAGAGTCATCCCGTGACACTAGGGATCCCTGAGCTATATAGGCAAGTATATTACAATGCTATTCCAAGACCAACAGTCTTTCCTTGGCAAATAAGACTATCTTTTTGTTTTTGTTTTATAGAAGCTAGATTTAGAAAAAAGAAAAAATTATTTTCTCCTTTTTGAAGCTTCTATGAATCAACTTATTTGATCAGACCACTGCTGGTGTTCAAACTAATCATTAATGATCGGCTTCATTAGTATCCTTTCAGTATGTGTTGCAAACACTTTCATTTTTTTTTGCGTCTCATCTTCTCCGGAATAATTAAATTAACTTTTCAAAATAAAAAACCTCAACTAACGGAAATTATTAAACATATTTAAACACTATTTATTTGATTATTGGAAAGTACACAAGGTTAGACTAAAAAATGAAAATCTAAGATGCAAGAGCTCTAATTTGGGTTGTTTGAATGCAACTTAAGCAAGTCAATGTTGAAGACGACTAGAGATTTGGATTTCTTGGCGCATTTCCTCACTTATATAATACTTAGCCAAATTCTTAATGTTACCATATGTCATTGTTGACCCTAAAAATTAACTAGCTTATGTGGCGAGCAGGTCGAGTAATTAATGAGCTAACTACGTCCTTCGGTTGAATGTGGGGCGTGCTAACTCGTCGGTCGAGTTCGGTTGGGGAGTAAAATATGTTGATGTGTCGTTGGGTGCGCTGCTGACTTCTACGTCTTGTGAATGTGCCCGAGGAAGGAACTCGTCTTGGCCTTTGGGTTCTAGAGCCTGAAGACAAGGCTGCTAGTTTCTTCGAAGTTCACGAATCGTCGACGTCGGGTTTGGTCTCAGTAATATATTTGTGCAAATATAAGTACATCGAACTGGTACCAAAATGTACATACACAAATACTCAAAAGCGATAAGTGTCTTGATTGTAAATGTGGTTTGGCCGTCTGAATGCCGAACTCTAAAATATGCTTGCGAATATCCATTCGTAAAATAAACTCGGCTTTCAAAGTGCTGAGCCTGGTAACACTTCACTTCGTTGAGAAGGCTGATGAGATGACATCTTCCAATAAGGACTCGGAAATCCTCGTTGACCGATACTTGGATAGATAATTAGTCGGTCTCGAAGCAGTGCTGTTTATCCAAACTGAAAGTACTTTTCGGTCGACTAATTCTACAGCTTCAATGCTATTTATCCAATCTGAAGATGTCGCCAGTTGCCTCCACAATACTGTTTATCCAAACTGAAGA